TAAAAAGAAGTGTTCCACTATGTGACACTTCTATTCTCCTAAGAGAAGTCACAGCTTCAGAACAAATGCAGCCCTCCTACCTGTTCAATCAGTCTTATCCCCTCCTTCCCCTCTCTGTATCTCTCTCACCTTCCAGCTCAAACATCAGGGAGGGCCTATACTCACTGGTGTTAACCTGGTCAATCCATGTATATCCCTAAAATCAAATAAATAAACCAAGATGACTCTCATCTTCACTAGTCCTTCAGTTGTCCCATGTAGCTATGAAGGACTGCTTCTAAGAATACCTGCTGACAGAAAATTCTGCAGATGCCTAACTCTTTAAACAAAATGAGTGTAAAAAACAACAACAAAAAAAAAAAAACCCTTGTATACTTGTGCAGATGACAACCTATTTTTCTTAAATATTCACTCTTCTTTTAAAATTCTATTTTCTTCAGATGGGGGTTTCACTGTACTGCTTAACCTGACTGTGAATTCACAGACTAACGTGATCCTCTCGTCTCAGACTATCAAAAAAGCTGGAACTGGATGCAATACAACAGTAATGAGGGAGGGAAAAGGAGACCACAATACATTTTTAATGCCAGTCACCTGCCTCTCGAGATAAAAAAAGAACTTACACACACACACACACACACACACACACACATGTAAACACACACACACACACAGAGGGGTGGAGGAGGAAGGCTTATACTGACATACCTAGTCATGATAGTTTTAATTGTTACCTTGATATAACCAAGAAGAGACTCTCATGAAGAGATTATCTAGGTAAGGTTGGCCTGTTGGCATGTTTGTAGGGAATTGTCTTGATTACATTAATCATGTTGATTACATAACTTGGTTACATTAATTGAGAAGGCCTGCCCATTGTGGGAGGTACCATTCCCTGGGTTTAGGTCCTGAACTGAGTAAGAGTAGAAAAAGCAAGCTGAGCCACGCAGGTATACATACATTCCTTCTCTCTGCTCTAGACCATGGGTGTAACTGTTTCAACTACCTGAAGGCTCCCCAAAGAATGATGGACTAACCTGGAACTGTGAGCCAAAATAAACCCTTTCTCTCCTCAGCTGTTTTTTATCAGCATATTTCATCACAGCAACAGAGACTGAAGAACAGAAAGTGTACCAGAAATGAGATCTGCTGTGATGAGCCTAAATACATGATTTTTGTTCCATCTGAGTTAGCTTTTGTATGTTTTAACTGAAGTGTGGAAGAGTTTAAAACTTCAGGCCAGAGAAGCCATTGAATGCTGTAGAAAACTTAAATAGTTTGTCCTTGTAGGAACTTGGAAGACGCTGAAAGAAATACAAACCAATGAAGGCTTGGCTCATGAGCTCTCAGAGGGGAGCAAGGGTCCGACCCAGGACCTGCACAGGGGCCATTAATGGGAGATTTGGCCAAATACCTGGCTTCATTCACTCAGGTCCTAAGAACCTAAGTGAAGTTGATTTCCTTGAAACATTGAACTATAACCTGACATTACAGGCTAAAATAGAATCTTTCTCCCTTAGGTTGCTTTTTGTCAGGGTATTTAACGACAGCAACATGAAAATTAGCACTTGCTTATCTAATTAAAAACTATAACAGTCTCTATATTCGTTTCAACAAGTAATTTCAATTTTAACTATCATTTTTTAAAAGTAACTTCAATTTTACCTTCATTTTTAAAAAAAGTAACTTTAATGCTATCTTTTAAAAGCACCACCTTCAATTCTAACTAACATTAAAAAAAAAATTCTACAATGGGTCCTAGGACTCAGACAATGAACTGAAAAAACACTTAAGAGGCCAAAAAAGAAAAGAAAAAAATAGCGGAACTGAAAATAATAAATGAACATGAAAATTTTGAAATGTCTACCACAGCAGTGTGATTACCTGTGGAATCTCTGGAAACAACAACTACACTGTTCATACTGAGCAGAAGAATGGGTTTTGTATGGCTTTTGTATGGCTTTTTAATAACTCTAGCATAACCACACAACCACTCCAAACTGTTTCATCCTGTCTTATCTAATCTACCTTTCCCCTGTTAACTTGTATCAGGAGAGATTCATATCCCAATAGAACATTCTGGTGACATAGTAACTTCATCAGTATGTTTTACAAATGTATCATCAACAGGTTCAAGCCAGGAGAATTATTTGTCTCCATCTTGCCATGGATTTCCCCCAACCCCCAAGCAGGACAAAAAACAAAGGACTACCACCTTCTTTCACGATGTCTGTTTTTTGGAAAGGCAATCTTACCTTACAAACAAACTCTTCCATTCTCTCCATAGCATGATGGGCTTGTAGGAGAGGAGACATGCCCATAAACCCTTCATCTTCCTGGGAATTGTCATCTTTACACTTGAGTTCCTCAGAGCTCTGCAAAGACATCACAGCAAGAGTCAAGGACATGACCTTTGCAGATGTAAAGGTTTAAAATCAAGTCTCAGTCAACAAGCATCAACAATAGTCCGTAGCAGCAAGTTCACTGTAAACCTATTAGCATTAAAAATGAAGCCAAGCATGGTGGTGTATGTTTTCAATCCCAACAGAGATAGTTTCAAGCCAGTCAGGGCTACACAGTGAGACCAAAATAAGACAAAGCAAATATAAACAAGTCAAAAAGTTTTCTCCATTCTGAGGGATAAACAACTGTCTACTAAAACAGCATTCCTATGCTCACTTCACAGTATGTTCCTTGAATAGCTTTATTAGTCTCCTTTGAGTTTTAAGAGTTACTTCCAGCCCGGCGCTGGTGGCTCATGCCTTTAATCCCAGCAGAGGCAGAGGCAGGCAGATCTCTGTGAATTCCAGGACAGCCTCCAAAACAATACAGAGAAACCCTGTCTCAGGGGGAAAAAAAAAAAGAGTTACTTCCACAGGCCAATGAGAGCAGCATGATGGGAATCTGATCCCATCATCTGGAACCCACATAATGGTAGATGGAGTCAACTCCACAAGGCTGTCTGCTGACCTCCACATGTGCACCCTGGCACATGGGTCCCACCACTTGCATCATGCACTCACACACGAATATCTTCAAATCACCTTTGACAAAGTCCAACACCCCTTCATGATAAAGGCCAAGAAGAAACTAGAAGCTAAGACAGGATGAGTATGAACTCCGGGCCAACTGGGCTATATAACTAGACCCTGGCTTAAAAAATAAAAAGGAAAAAGGATGTTGGGGAGAGATGAAGGGAGGGGAGGGAAGGAGGAGAAGAAAATTTCTGCTTCAGACCTCAATGTAGGGGCTCAGGAGACAGCTTAGTCAAGACTAACCTGGGCTGCATGAGACCCTGTCTCAAAACAAACATCAGTGACAACAGCAACCAAAACCAAAAAAAAAAAAAAACCAATTACAACTATCAGGAAAGGAAAACACATGTCATGATCCTTATCTAATGGAATTATTCTAACTGAACATGTAGCTCTGAAATTTCAGGCAGGACAACAACATAGACAAGAAAGAGTGAGGAGGAAAAGAGGGAAAAGCTCAATTGTGAGACCAGTCTGGGCTACACTGTAAGACTCTGTTTTCACACTCACACACACACTCTCCTCCCTCTCTCCCGATCTCTCTCTCTCTCCCTCTCCCCCCCCCCCAATCCTCAATGAGAGGGGTTGAAATGATCAGTGCAGAGAAGTGGAGACAGCTTGGGCAGATGACAATTCTTTCAGAAAGAACCTGCCTCCAAGCTGAGAAGGGAAGAGGCTGGCAGTTCATGCAGGATCCCTTTGAAGGCCTGGGGATGCATTCTAAATTCATTGAACAATAGCTTTCTTATATTTTCTTTATTGCTCTCGGGTCAGGGTTTCACTGTGTAGCTCTCTCTGGCTGTCCTGGAACTTTCCATGTAGACCAAGCTGCCATCAATCTCAGAGATTACCTGCCTCTGTCTCTAAAGTGCTGGGATTAAAAGCTTGACTGGAGACTATCTTTTCAAAGAGGATGAATATAGCCTCTCTACAACTTTGAGCAGCAAAGGTGATAAAAAACAGTGAAAGAAGTTTATGGAATTGGAAGGAATAAAGCGGGAGTATTGGCCACTGATTTCTGTACTTTGTTTTAAAGTAGGAGATGGGGAAAATGCATAGAAATGCAGAGACATTTCTTAAGACAATGCTTAAGAATGGAAAAGGTGCCGCTATAATTCGAATCACAAATAATATCTGGTACCCAGTTGATGATAGTTTGGAGAGGTTTAAAGGTTTAAAGGGTACAGTCTTGCTGCAAGAAGTATGTCAGTCACTAGGAATGGACTCTGCAATTAAAACCTGCACCATTTCCAGTTCAATCTCCATCTATGCTTGAGATAAAGGCTGTGCCCTCTGAGCCTGCTCTTCCTCCACCATGCCTGCTACTTGTGGCATGCTTTCCTGCTGTCATGATACATCCCTCTGCAACTGTAAGCATAAAATAGCTTTATTCTCTAAGGTGCTTTGCTTATGATGTTTTATCACAGCAACAGAAAATTAATTAATACAGATACTGAAGCTACTGGTGAATATGATGATAGTTTCTTTCAAATTCAGATATTTGGGACCTTCTTAGAATGCAGGCACAGACCCAAGGGACAGATTCAGAGAGGAATGGACCAGGGTCCTAGGCTCTCAAATCCATCTTTAAAAGAAAAAAAAGATCATTATCTTAGTTATACAAATGTTTTGTCTGTATGTATGAATGTGTACCATATACATGTTCTGCTACTAGCCAAGGTCGGGTGTGGGATCTCCTGGGACTGGAGTTACAGATCATTTGTAAGCTGCTATGTGAATGCTTGGGAACTGAGTTCAGGTCCTCTTCAAGAACAAGTATTCTTAACCACTGAACCAACTCTCCAGCCCCACCAAAATCCATTCTTATAAATCATGGTCTATGTATTTATTCCCTCATCTTGTTTTACATGTGATGATTGGCAGAGTCCAGAAAGACTGGCAGGTGGCTCAACAAATAGAGTAGCTCCCTGACAGATTCCAAGGCAGTTAGCAGAGTAGCAGTTGGTAGGCAGAAGAGGGTCCCAATACAGGAGTGGGCTTCTGCAAGAGGCTAAGGGATTCAGCTGTCACCTCAGGAGCAGCACAATCTAAGCACCAACTGGTTGGTTTAGAAGTAAGTCTTTTAAGCAGAAATGAGATGTTTTCTTATCTGTAAACAGTAACAGATGTGCCCAGTCTGTAAGGTCAATCTAAGGAGTGAGTCCATCACTGTTCAGTTTGTAGGAAAGTGCCTGGCACCAAGGTGCTCAGTGGGAGCATTTCTTCTTGTCCCCATCTATTCCTTTGACCCTTCCTGATCATCTACCAGCTTCACAGGACCATCAGCTAGTCTGGAACCCGCCTGTCCTGTTGCCTGTGCATGAACCGCACCACTGTCCCCTGACACATAAGGAATGATAATGTTCAGACAGTACACCTATGACATTTTTTTTTCAATTTTCTTTCTTTTTTTTTTAATTATTCAGAGACAGTCTCATCACACTGTAGCTCAAGGCTGTCCTGGAGCTATTTAGCCCAGGCTGGCTTCAAACTTGATGTACTCCTTCCTCAGACTCCTCCTCAGTGCTAGAATTACAAGGACAGACTACCACAATTGACTAGATTCTTTTTCCTCCCTCTCTCTCTCTCTCTCTCTCTCTCTCTCTCTCTCTCTCTCTCTCTCTCTCTCTCTCTCTCTCTCTCTCTCTCTCTCTCTGTCTCTCTCTCTCTCTCTGTCTCTCTCTCTGTCTCTCTGTCTCTCTGTCTCTCTCTCTCTCTCTCTCTCTCTCTCGTGTGTGTGTGTGTGTGTGTGTGTGGACAACTTTGTACAACTGGTTCTCTCCTTTCACTCAAGGTCAGGATTGCACAAGTACTCTAGTCACTGAGCTGCCTCACCAGCTCCATCAAGAGATTCTTAAGGGTAATTCTTCCATTTGATCCAGCATGGATAAACACCTATGACATAGTGCTAAGCTCGCCACTGAAGGATGAACATTCTATGATTTCACTCACCTGTCATCAAATTTGACTAGCAAAAAGTAAAATGATGATTCTCAAGGACTAAAGAGCATGGCAAAAGGCAGACAATGTTTAATAGACACAGAGTTTCAGTTTAAGAAGGAGAAAAAGTTCTAGAGATGGAGGTTTGTGCTTATGTACTTAACTACCACAAAACTGCACTTAAAAATCATTCAAATCCTGGATTTTACATCATGTACACCTTGAAACAATTTTTTTAAAATCTAATGAATTTATTAACCACTTTAAACCTGAAATTGAATGAATGGGTTTTTGGTTGTTTGCTGTTTTTAAGAATGCAGGTGGGGCTAGAGAGATGGCTCCATAGTTAAGAGCCCTGTTTGGTCTTCCAGAGGACCAAGGTTCAATTCCCAGCACCTACATGGCAGCACAACTGTCTGTGATTCCAGTTCCAGGGGATCTGACACCCTCACACAGACATACATGCAGTCAAAACCAATGCACATAACATAAATAAAAAATCATTAAATAAAAATACAGGTAAGGTTTGCTACCTGTGGAAGAGCACATTTTTAATCCCAATACTTAGCAGGCAGAGGCAGATAGATCTCTGTGAATTTGAGGCCAGTCTGACCTACAAAGAGTTTTTCAGGTCAGCTAGGACTACATAAACAGAATACATGTAAGAGGCTGGGGAGGTGGCTCAGGGGTTCAGAACACTTGCTGGTTTTCAAGGACCATGATTCAATTCCCAGCACTGCCATGGCAGCTCACAACCATTTTTTACTCCAGTTCCAGGGAATATAACACCTTCTTCTGGCCTCCTTGGGCATCAAGAATACATGTGGCACACAGATATAGATACATGCAAGCTAAACGTCCATATGAATAAATTAAAAATAAATCTAAAAAAGGACACATTAAATCAGAATAGGGAACAATGGTACACAACTATAGTCCCAAAATTCAAGAGGATGAGAGACAGAAAAATGGCTGAAAGCTCAAGGTCAGACTAGAATACATAGTAAGACCCTGAGTCAAAAATAAAAAGGGAGAAGGATATAGCTCATCAGCAGATACTTACCTAGTAAGCATGAGGTACCCCCCACAACACACACATAAAAGAAGACAAACACAATGACCCAAAAATAAAAAAGCTTCGAAGACGACTGAAAAATAGTTTACCTTTCTATAGAGATAACTTATGTAGCCCACCAGCACAGGACTCACTGAATGGGCAGCGATACCACTATATAGTTAGGGAGACAGTTCTACCCAAGAGTTACAGATGGAAGAAGTCATATGCACTGTGTTCTTTCTAACAAGAAAGAAGGCACTGCTCTGGAGATTTCTTGGCAAAGGTCTACAGAGATTCTCATATGATACCTACACTTGTCCACAGGCTGAGAAACAATACACTGACTTTTTCCCTAAGGTGTTGGTGAATGAACCCAGGGCATTCTTCTCACTAGGCAGAAGGATGACTAGAAATAGCCAGATACAATGAGAATTGTTAATGTTAGTTGTGTCTTTCATTCTTCATTTATCAAATATAATTATGTCCACATTAACAGTAATACTCTATGCTAGGTAACATGGACCATGTAAACATGAAGGCCACACTTCATAATGTAACAAAACGAGATGAGGTCTACACTCACGATTTTAATTTAGAAGGGTTGTTTGGTAGCAGGGGAAATGATCTCTGCTATAGGCTGAATCAGAGAAGTAGGAAACATCCATGATAGAAGGCACTGCCTGCTTGTCTAGGGGAGCTGACAGACAGGAAGCAGTGCTAAGAAATTGGAAACAGACCTCTTGGATGGGTTCAGGTCACTTAGCAACTGCTCTCACTTTCCGATCTTGATTTCTTTTTGACATGTAGGAGAGTGAATATGAATGAGAACTGGGGCAGGTGTATGCAGGTGACAGCACACATGTGAAGGTCAGAAGACAACCTTACATGTAGGAAGGTCCTCACCTTCCACATTGAGACAGTGTCTTATTGCTGTTTTTACTACTATACAGGCACACTTCCAAGGAATCACCTGTCTCTGCCTGCCATAGCCTAGAAGTGCTAGAACTACAGACAATCCTGTTCCATTAGCCATTTATGTGGGTTCAGGGAACTCAAACTCAGGTCCTAACACTTATGTGACATGCCTTTTAACCCAGTGAATCATCACCACAGCTCCTAATCCTGATTCCTGCTTTCCTTTCTAGGGGCTGTAAAGTATCTGGCCTTTTCCTGAAAAACAGGAGAACATGGTAATAGAAGTGGCAATTGCAATGATCCCTGTGCTGTACACAGCAGCAGGTGACAAATCTGGCTACTACATTGGGCGGACACTATGGTTTGGCCTCATCCACTTGTACAGCTTAGTAATGTATGTGGTTCAGGTGCACTGGAACAAAAACCATGAAGATTTCAACTGCCATGGAAATATCACCCGTTCTTGTCGTGTGGAGTGTTTCGAAGAACTATTTAGCATTCCTATCACAGGAATGTGGTACTACTTCTACTTCATCTTCATAACCTTGTTCTTCATCATGGAATTCTTCATGGCTCAGATTCGACATAAGCACACCAAGGTAAAGGAGAAGTCTATGCAGGAAACAGACAACACCAGGGAAATGGAGAAGGGTACCATGGAGGCAATCAGGAAGCAGAGCCCCTCCCAGGAGACATCCTCCCAAAACTTCCACCAGAAGAAGGCATTCTTATATCTGTATCTGCTCCACACCCTCCTGCAGGTCAGCTTCCAGACTATGTTTCTATGCCTGCTCACATTCAAACACCTGCCCATAGTGAGTCACGGCAAAACTCACTGCAACACCAACAGCTGCTCTACCTCCTTTCACTGTCTGCTCATGAAAACCTCGGCAAAGAAGATGACCATTTACGGCCTCATCACCTTGTCCATCATAAACATTGTCCTCGGGGCAAGCTACTTCATCTATAGCATCTATCACTACCTACTGGAAGCTCGCTCAGCTTCCAAGATTCCAATTGACTGATATTTCTAAGGACTTCCTGAAGTCCTTTCTCCTTCACACAAGGAACTTTATGTTCTTCTAAATTTTGTTGTTTCAGAACAACTCTTCCTTCTAACCTTTGGGTCTTGATTTTAATAAAAAAAACATTTGCCAAAGATGGTGACACACACCTTTAATCACAGCACTGGAGAGGCAGAGCAATGTACAGTTCAAGGTCAGTTTGATCTACATAGTGAGTTCTAGGCTAGTTAGGGCTACTCAGTAGATCCTACCTTAAAAATAAGACATAAATAAAATATGATTTAAAAAAATATTCACCAGGGCTGGAGAGATGGCTCAGAGTTTAAGAGCACTGACTGTTCTTCCAGAGGTCCTGTGTGTAATCCCCAGCAACCACGTGGTGGCTCACAACCATTTATAATGAGATCTGGTAAGCATACATGCCAGAACACTGTATACATAATAAATAAATAAATTTTTGAAAAGAAAGAAAAAATATTCACCATTTGTTTTTATCTCTAGTGCTAGGCTGGGGTCATCAGACCCTGAGGCAAGAGTATATCCACACAATGACCACCAGGCCTTGGTGCAGACCAGCTCATTTCCTCAACATGGTCACCTGTAAGGTGACTTCAGTTCCTTTTCTGAAGCCCCAGAAGATAAGTAGCCGTGAAGGGAAGCCAAGTGAAACCTGGGTGTGTCACCTCTCAGACCTTCACTCCACAGGAGCCTTCAGATGTTAGCTGCTCAGTGGGGTCAACTTTCCCTGTGGTGGAGATCAACTGTAGCCGAAAGCAGAACTGATGTTCACTTTCTGAGCAAGGCTTGTAGAAGATGAGAATAAGGTCAACCAGCAGGGCACTGTGCCAAAGTATGGTCACACCCTTCTCAGGCCAAGGTTACGTCACCTTCTTCTCCAGTCTGAGATGAAGAATCCGGGTGCCAGCTCCTACTTAGGTGTCCATACCCAAGGGAGATTCTCTAAGAAACGTATTCAGGTGATGAGTGGACAGGGAAGGGGTGAAGGTGGGGGTGTAAGACCTCTCTCTACTCCCCTTTAATCAACGACCACAGAAGCTGTCAAGTTCCTCTAACAGACAAAGGCTGGCTCCACGGGATGACCACCCACCTTCATTACCCAAAATGGACAGAGCTGGAGTGGGGGCCTGAGGAAGGGTGCAGTACATACGGTCCTCACAGCAATCTTCCATGACTAGCTGCTGCCCTAAGGCTGCTGCTCTACAATCACGTATCAGTATGAACTACTAGTGGGCAGAGATGGCTTTGATAATCTCAGAAAGCAAACACTAGAGAGGCTAAACAACAACTCAAGAGTCACAAGCTGCTCAACCCCAAAATTAGCTCAGGGGAATCTTCTCAAGGGAAGGGCTATCCTTCTCCTTGCCAGCCAGACTAAAACGAGAAAAAGTGGGAATAAAATCTATGTAGAAATATCTGAGACTAGTGGCCAAAGCAGCATAATCTAAGACTGACTAAACTGGTATCCCAAATTACTGCCTGTTTTTATTAAGAAAAAAGGTGTGTGAAGGCATCACTCCTGATTTAAAGAAGTGTCTTAAACAACAGACGTATATCTAAGTGGAACAGCACTTACCTATCATGTCCAAAGCCCTGGGTCTGACCCATAACACCTTAAAACCAAACCAAATCAATCAATCAAATACAAAGTGGGTATTACCTTTTCTATTTAGAATGTATTAAGTATATTTTAACAACCCAACTTTATCCAAGATCCCCAAATTGACTATGCTTCTAGCAGCATGAATTATTTACTACTTTTTTTGGTTTTGTTTTAAAAAAGAAACATTTTTTCATTTCTTGTTGTGAGTGCATGCACATACATTCATGCATGTACATACTACATGAGACCTAGCTTCACAAACCAAAAAGATTATATTTAAAAATATTATAGATATAACATATACTAGTACATAAAACTAGTTTATCAAATCAAACAAATACTTTTAGTCTTTTTGAGACAGGGCTCACTATGTAGTCCTACTTGACCTGGAACTCACTCTGCAGACCAGGCTGGTCTAGAACTCTGGAGAATTGCCTGCCTCTGCCTCCTGAGTACTGGGATTAAAAGCGTGCACCACCACACCCAGTTTAACTATGGTTTTAATTTAGTTTAAACATGTACTGCCACATACATGCATCTCAATAATTTTTTTTCTATGTGGCCTTTCAGTATTTTTTGTTTTGTGCTTTGGATGGAGGGGGGTCTCATTATATAGTCCTAGATGGCATAGCCAACCTGTAATGTTTCATAATAGCAAGATTAAATCACTAACCACTAGGAAGCACAAGCTTGCAGTATGACATACAATCTCCCAGCACCACATCAGTGAATATGGACATAAAGTTCCACTGTACACATCAGCACACCTGTAACATTGTCTGATGCTGTTCACAAACACATTTGTTAATATGATGAACTGCCTAAGTCTTCCCTTTTTCTCTAAAAAGTTAAATAAAACATTAAAATCTACCTTCTGTCCTCAAGATTCTACTGACCCCAAAATATGAACTGAAGACAACAATTTAAGAAGTTGTACATAATTTCTCCAAAATACCAGTGACATTGCTATAACTAAAATGTGGCTGGTTCTGAGGCTGGAGGGATGGCTAAGCAGTTAAAAGTATTTGCTGTTCTTTCAAAGTGCCTGGATTCAGATCCCAGCATCCACATGGAGTCTTACAAAAGTCTGGTAACTCCAGCCTCAGGGTCCTACACTTTTTTCGGGCCTCGGAAGCTACAAGGCACACAATGCACTCACAGGCATGCAGGTAAAACACTCATAAGCACAAAAATAAGTAAATCTTTAAAAACATTCAGTCTCTCTTAAACAAGATAAAACAGAGTGGCTATGATTTTAAGTTCCAGCAGAAAGGTACAAATAGGAAATCAAATAATATCTGAGTTCAGTATGAAACCAAGTTTTGCCAGGCATGGTAGCACATGCCTTTAATCCCAGCACTAGGAGACAGAGGCAGAGTGTAGTGCTGGTTGTTTCTGTGAGTTTGAGGCTAGTTTGGTCTACAGAGTGAGTTTCAGGACAACCAGCACTACACAGAGAAACTGTCTTGAAAAAAACAAAACAAAACAAACAGCACTGTTGTTGTTACAGAGAACCTGGGTTCAAGTTTCAGCACACACATGGTGACTCACAGCCATATGTATCTCCAGTTCTAAGGAATCTGGCACCCTCTTCTGGCCTTTATAGGCACAAAATACACACGTGGTACTGACATATGCAGGCGAAACACCCATACATAAAATTTTAAAAATATATGCTTACTAAGTCGGTATCTCTACCTTTCCTCTAGAGAAATAACACATTATATATTACACATATGTATTCTTTTCAAATATCACCCTTCATCTCCATATGTCTGCTTGTTTGCAACGCTCCAGACTTTTAACTTACATTTTTATAATGGGAAGAACAAACAGATGTCTCTAAAATGGGCTCCGAATCTTCTTGGCGGCTGTCATTATTACCTCCCTTTGTATCATCAAGTTGGTGCCCTTTTCTGAGCCTTATATCTGGCTCTGGAGTCCTGGTGCACCCCAATCGGTGTTCTGCTGGCTCGTTCATGGGATACCAAAGCCTTTCTTACAAAGTGATCTTTCTTTCTGTCCCTTCTTCTTGGGAGAATGGATTTTTTAAGGGATAGTGAGTTGACCCTAAGGAGAGAAAAGTTATACACATGAGTGCTGGGAAAAATACATGAGCTACATTATTTACCCTCAGGGAACAGAAAATTCAACCCCCCCAAAAAAGAGCAATATTCTTGAAGTTATACCCACTGCTAAAAGATTGCCAAAATCTAACAATCAACCAAAAAAGACATGTGTAATATTTCCACTTACATTAATTGTAAAATATGTGGTTGTAAGAATTTATGCACATACAACAATTACTAGAAAGTATTCAAAACCATGCCCCTGGTATAGAAACACACAAAGAAGAACTAAGGGTTTATCAAAAGACTTACATTATACTGTGTTCTACCTATGCCTTTTTTCAACCCTATCATTCTGTTTTCAGTTAAAAGCATGCCTAACTGAAGCTGGGGGATGGTAATGTATCCCAGAACTTTGAAGACAGAGGCAGGGGAATCTCTGTGAGCTTGAGGTCAACTCTACAAAACAAGTTCCAGGCCAGCCAGGGCAGCATAGAAAGATCCAATCTCAAAAACAAAAAAACCTAAATGTAAAAAGAATACATGTAAGCTTACATATTATACCATTTTACATATCCAGTTTATTTAAATAATTACATGGTTTCATTTTATTAAATTTCAATTAGATTTTAACAAATCTCATTAAATAATGACCAGGGTTATTTTTTCTTTTACAAGTGAGAAAACAAAAACCCTGCACACATTTTTTATAAAATAGGACAAAAATCTCTAAATGTATGCATATTTGCATATAATAATTAATAGTAACCAATTAATTAATTCATGTGTATTATCAGCAACACTGTATATTCAACATGCTTAATATCTGACACTTTTAGTTGTTCTGGTCTCTAATAAGACTACCATGAAAAGCAAGAAACTTGGGACCAGAACATATCCCTTTTATATCTGTAATCCCAGGAGATATGCCTAACAAATAGCTGAAAGGTATTTCAGTGTTCTTAAGTGGTAAACTTTCATAAATCATCTTTCTCCTAACTAGTCTGTGTAATTTTATTCCGTAGAAGTTCTAGCCTTTCAAGTGCTTCTCATCTAACTCTTCATTCATAGCACACAAATGTTCTTTAAACAAGCCAGCTGAATAAGAAAATAGATTACCGGAGTTAATCCACCTAGAAGGGAAGATTCAGGAACATGCTGTGCACTGAAATGCTGAGACACAACGTTCTCACTGGGGAAAGGGAAGAGAGGAACAAAGAAGACCTAGACTCCATAAAAAACAGGCAAGGCTGTACTGTGTATGTGAGCCAGGTATGTAAGTATAAGTTATGCTGATGTAGATACACAAACTAAGAAGTAGCCAAAGAATTAGTCTTTAATGACTTGAGCTTACTGCAGGATTTCTCTAGTTACTTTCAAAGTTTATGAGGCAAAAAGCACAAGAAGCTAGAAAAATGGCTAGCAATTAAGAGTTCTTACAGGAACCAGGTTCTGTGCCCAGCATCTACATGGTGATTCATAACAATCTGTAAAGCCAGTTCCAGGGAATATGATGCCATCTTGTGGCACCAGAAGTACCACACACACGCACATGGTGCACATGCATACATGTAGGCAAAATACTCATACACACAAATTGTTTTTAAGTAATGGTGATTAACTTCCACCTAAGA